TTTAGATCATGAGTGTGTAAGAAGGGTTTTAGATCATGAGTGTGTAAGAAGGGTTTTAGATCATGAGTGTGAAGAAGGGTTTTAGATCAGGAGTGTGTAAGAAGGGTTTTAAATCAGGATTGTGTAAGAAGGGTATTAAATGAACAATATTTAGCTTGTATATTGAAAAATTACATTCTAGAAAGATGTTTAAACATATTTTGTCATTCTTCCTCTCTGGAACCTGTGATGTAAGATTTTATTTGAGGCAGTAAACCAGTCCCATAAAACTATATTTTAAAAACACACGTTTTTCTGGTAGTAATTTGTATTTATATAAAGGTTATTTTTTTGTATTCAATGATGGGTTTTGAATAAGAATATGATTTGGTATTGAGATTATTTTCCTCTTACTGTGATGTTACTTGGTATTCTAGTACTGAGTTCTGTATCGGAAAGATTAGGCTTGAGTGTAAGTACCTGTTACTTGAGGTAGTATAAACATACTTTGTTCTTCAACTGCATAACCTTAACTGATACTTTATGAATGTATTGAACTTAAACCTATATGCTGTGTATTGGTTTGGTAAAATCTCTCATTGCCCAGTTTTTTTTTAAGTTTAAATAATTTGGTAGCTTCCATTCAGTGCCCGATATTTCTCTACAGTTGATGTTAGAAATAACCAAAGCACAATTCTTCATGAAACAAATCAAATGAATCATTATCAATATCACTTATTTACCTTTACTTTGTGAATTATTGTAGTACTTTGTCTTGATCTACAACTTATTTATAAGTTAAGGTAATTAATCACTTATGGACTAGTATGTATAAATGTAGTTAATAGACAGTTTTACTTTATACTGATACATATATCTTTCAACTAGATATTATTTCTGGTTTCCTTTATACTAATAGGTACGTCTTTCAACTAGGTATTATTTCGTGTTTTCCTTTATACTAATAAGTACGTCTTTCAACTAGGTATTATTACTGTTTCCTTTATACTAATAAGTACGTCTATCAACTAGGCATTATTTCGTGTTTTCCTTTATACTAATAAGTACGTCTATCAACTAGGCATTATTTCGTGTTTTCCTTTATTCTAATAGGTACGTCTATCAACTAGGCATTATTTCATATTTTCCTTTATATTGATATATATGTCTTTCAACTGGTTAACTCTGGCTAGTTTCACTAATTGATGAAGCATAACACATTTTTCTTTCTTTTTTACATTATTGTGAAAATTTAGTTTCAGTTGTGTTAAATAAAAACAAGATCAGTGATAAGTGGAATGTTTTAGTTGTGTTAAATGAAAACAGGATCAGTGGTCAGTGGAATGTTTTAGTAGTGTTAAATGAAAACAGGATCAGTGGAATGTTTCAGTTGTGTTAAATGAAAACAGGATCAGTGATAAGTGGAATGTTTTAGTAGTGTTAAATGAAAACAGGATCAGTGGAATGTTTCAGTTGTGTTAAATGAAAACAGGATCAGTGGAATGTTTCAGTTGTGTTAAATGAAAACAGGATCAGTGGAATGTTTCAGTTGTGTTAAATGAAAACAGGATCCAACTAAAACATTCCACTTTTCATTTAACACAGGATCCAACTAAAACATTCCACTTGTTAAATGAAAACAGGATCAGTGATAAGTGGAATGTTTTAGTAGTGTTAAATGAAAACAGGATCAGTGGAATGTTTCAGTTGTGTTAAATGAAAACAGGATCAGTGATAAGTGGAATGTTTGCAACATGAGTAACTTAGAGAATAAGCTTTAATCAATGTTTCAAACAGAATAATTGATAACTGGCTTTACTCAGTATTTGACACGTGACTAACAGAACTTTACACATGAATGGTGCTCCTACTTTAGTGATATAACATGAAGTTTATAAAAGTGTGAGAATTGAAAAACTAGCTCTGTGAATGAAGACTACCATAGTTTCATGACATTCAAAAGCTGTGCTAGTGAAATGAATGATTCACGATGGTGCTACCAAGATTTCACATACGTGTATTAGGTAAGAGTTTTCATTTAACAGGTTAGTTTTTAGGATGTTGAAGCACGTATGGTTGACAATAACAATAAACGATTCTAGATTAATTAAATAAAAGCAGGTTATTAATGGAGTAGGTTAATCTAAATCTATATAAAAGCCAATGTGTGTCACGTCACGTTTTATTTTTCAAAATAGGACGAGACATAAAAGCCAAAATGCATTTATCCAGATAGAATAGTTCGATTACTGTCTACCCATTGCGATTTTAGTGACGGAAATCTTATAAGTGTAGTGAGTGTTGATATAATACGCCTAATGATGTAGTGTGGGATCACCTAGTCTAGAGCCATGTGCATAAAAGTTATCATGAAAGTAAAAATATTAATTCAATTTTAAACTTAAATCATTTCTGAATTAAACTATTTTCTGTTATAATGCCACTGTTTCTAATGGAAACTAAATTCAAAAATCAAATATTTTTAGAGTTTTGTTGTCTATACATTTCATTTTATACTTTCAGTACATAGACTAACAACAGTATTAGGTTATACTTGTGTTGCTAAGTAAAATGACATAAAACTCATTGTTAGAACATAGTGTTACGAAAATGCACTGGCATTTCTATATATTAGAAGTTGTTAATCGAACTGATTTTTACCAATAATTATTCTATGAATACACCACGAATTCATTTCTTGAATGATCTTAATCTTGATTGGCTCACAAAGGAATTTATCAATGTTTGACTGCACTTCTCTGCCTTTTTTTGTTGGTCAAGCTTGATTTCACAAAATTTATTTACTTCAATTAGCTATGAAATGTGAGGTGGGGGTGGTAGTACTTGCCCAATCATTTTTGACAGGCTATATACTAGTTACAACTCCACGAGGAAGGTAACAGAGAAATTATTTGGTTTACAGACAAAGATAGTTATAATGACCAGACGTACATTATAACTGATAAAACAATGCATTCTGAACTTTGTAAGTAAACATGGTATATTTAACTAGCCATACTCATCACTGGGTTAATTTTTACTTTTCATATAAGTATTTTTTGTAGTTAGCTTGCTTTGGTCACAAATATTAATTTAATGATCCAGATTTCTTTTTAAACCAGATGGTGGTAAGAGATGTAATTTAAAAAGTTATGTTTTAAGTCAGCTTATTGTGAAATTAAGTGACAATCACTCTTAGTTGCCAATGAAGTCTTTGTACCAAATTCTGCCCACCTGTAAATGGTAGTAGTTTATCCCAGATGAGGAAAAATGGTTACATTTGTTGTGTGTTTAAGACTGCAGATATGCAGCAGTGAATATGGAAAGAAAATTACAAGAATTTTTTTTGTAGCTACGATGAAGTTTAAATAAAATATTATCACCGTCCAGAAGGGAATGTCAGGATTATTATAACAAAAACATATCCACAGATCCTTGCGATTATATTTGTAAACATTTGGCTAGCTCAGATGTATAACAAATCGTAGTATTATTACAGATTTCTTTTTAATCGTAATGCAACACTGTAAATAAAGTGACTAATTACTTAAAAATACAACACTACTCTGTTTCATATTCCTGCTGTAACAAAAGTGAAGATATTACAAAATATGTGTATAATAAACACCCAAGACAGCATTATAGTTTAAAATGAATACTTTGGTTAGGTAGCATACGATAATATTTGGTAACGCAGTGTTAAAAGGTTTCTTATTATTGATGATGGCACGGAGCAGTGATTCGGATACCAATCTTAGCAATACATACACTGGTAAAAATAATAATTCATGTGTTTTACAATATTGTTTTCATTCTGCACACAAACTAGTGTATTAAACATTTACTTTTGCAGCTTATTTCATTTGTGAAAAAACGTGCCATAATTTGTAATATTTCATGATTTTTGTTTCATACGATACTGTGATCATTTTTTTTAAATATGTATTATACAGATGTGTACACACTGCTTAATTTTTTACACATCTGTTGAGTATTTGAATATACATACATGACCAGTTTTTTCCTCCTAATCAATGCGAGTTTAAATAAAGACCATAATTTTACATGATAAATGTATGTACAAGACTCCTAATCGTACAAAGACTGTTTGAGTATACATACTAGACCAGTTTTCTTCCCCTAAACTGTACAACAAAAGTTGTGTATTAAAATAACGAGAAAAGTGAAAAGGAGTCTAATTTTGAATGTTTCTTTCTTCACTTCATGTATTGAAGAGTAAGTTGGCTATTAACCTTTACTGTTTTATAGTCGCAACACGTTATGTTTATATTTTATTCACGAGACATTAACAGCAATACAAGATTTTAATTCTTTTCTTTTCATTATACTGGTTAATAAATACTCGACTTCAGGAACACATTTTAAGGACTTGTATTTAATTTTAAATTATACTTAACAAAAAGACAAATATTAAAAAAAAAGCATTTTATGTTGGATCTTTAATTATTCCACTTAAATTGCATATCCCAAAACAAAAACTATACAGTAATAGATACAATTTTGTTTTTCTTATTAGTACAATATAATGATTTATGTGAAAAAAAAAGCCAACTATTCTTGGAAGACTAAAAGCTAAATAAACTTTCATACAAAAGCACATTAACATTGCATATGTCAAGAATGAGCACGGAAAAGTTTTAATTATCATTAAGTCGATAAACCTACACCAACGGCAGTATTATCTAATATTAAATATCTTAGAACACAATCTGCTATTCGAATATAACTGATACTTCATTTCACAACTAGTTTTAATCACCTGAAGTACGGTAACTTAAGATATTACACGACAAGAGTAGTGAAAAGAAAGGAACTGTTCTCAGGATTATTTTTTTTTACGCTTGAATATTATTAGCAACATGAATATCTGGTGTTTTACAATCACTGGTATGGATGTAGAAGGCAGAACACTGCCTGCAGTAGGTTAGAAACTCTGTTACAAATGCAACAACACACAAAGACTGAAAACCATTTTTAAGGTTACAGAAATCATGGAGGAAATTCTTTGTACAAAAAAGAAACGTCTTCAACTTAGGGATCGATTTTCTCCTGATAACATATGCTCTAAGCTCTTGCTTTCTCTTTTTTCTTGTTGTTGGAGATAAGGTCTAAAACTTGCATGGCTGCAACTGGGATACGTGTACCTAGAAAAAATATTTTAATAACACTTGATTTTATTTAAATTAGGTTATGAATATGTGACA